AAATAAACATGCCAAACACAAAGAACACAAAGATTTACATGGTTCGGCAAAGCCTACGTCCACGGTGAAGATCCGGCAAAAGGTTTCACCATGCGAAAACTTGGAGATTACAAGTTTCAGTCCCCAAAACCCTTGCTTTCGCTTTCACTCTCACTCTCACTATTTTTTATGTGATTTTCAGTGTCTCTTAATGTCCCACACTCCCACTACAAACCCTAAATGCCCTTGTATATCGGGTTACAAGAGAGTACTAAATAGGATCCACGTCGTGCAAGCAAAAACGGGTCAAAAGTTTTCCTCGGGGCCGTTGCTCCTGAACCCCCGAGCTTTGGTGGGATTGGGGCCACACAAAGCTCAATCAACAGGGTCATCGGGTCGTGCACGGGTCGCAACGTGACCCTGAACCAAATTCGGGCCAGAACATAACAATTTTAATACCTCACACCTTAATCCTACATAAAAAAGGTTATTTTCTCTTATATCCTTAAGGTTACGATGTTCTGATGAATCTAAGCTTTTTATATATGATAATCATTTAACAACTTTTGAAAGTAATTATTTCACCAAAATTTTTTTTTGACAAGTAAAGATATATTAGAGAGCGTTCAAAAGGGGAACACATCCCAAAAGATATACATGGGCCGAAGCCAAGGAAGAGGTCCTAAGGACGGAAAGAACCCAAAAAAATCAACGATTTCCTCTATAGATATACAATTTCTCCTCATCACCCAACTAAAAAGAGAGCTAATAATAACATATTTCAAGGCCCCAATGGAAGATTCCTCCCCTTCAAAAGATCTTCTATTCCGCTCTTTCCAAATGCACCACCAAACGCAAAGAGGGGTCGCCCTCCAAAAGTCACAGGTGTGGCCCCAACGCTACATCACCTCCACACATCAATCAACTCCCTCACAGACCGAGGCATAACCCAAAGGACGCCGGACAAACCAAAAATAAGGCACCAACAATCGTAAGCCACGGGACAATGCAAAAGAAGGTGGTGATCCACGGACTCTCCATCCTTTTTACATAAACAACACCAATTAATTATAATATGTCTTCTCTTTCTGAGATTGTCCAAGGTCAGAATCTTGCCCCAAACTGCCGTCCACACAAAATGCCACTCTGAGAGGAGCCTTATATTGATATGCATGGTTGATTATGATTTTTCAGTCAATATAGGGGATGGGTTTTCTAGGCTTTTTGTTCTGTTTCTAACTTTTGTTCTTGTCTTCTTGGTTTACATTTTCTTTAGTTTTGATCTAGTCAATTGTTACTAGGTATTAGACTATTTAATTTAAGTTCAGTGTTTAATTTCATATAATGAAAATTTGTTTATTCCTTCCTTTAGTACAATGCAGATATTTTTTATAGACAAAAAAAGAGGTGTCAAGTTAGGTCTTTCGCAATTCTAATTGAGTTGATGTTGGATAGTTGTCATGAGAGCTCTACCTTTTCAGCTACATTCTCTTAGATATATGAATGAATTTATCCCAAGATGTATGTAGTTATATTTGGAATATTACTTTTATACATTTTTTATTTTTATTTTTGTTTTAGGCTTATTCTTGCAATATTATAAGATATTATTGTTTAATAAATTAGTTCGAATTATTTTCTACTAGTCTGGTAGAATCTTATGATTCTTATTGGGAGAAAATATAGGGATTTGATCTGTATTGGGAGTATCTTTAGGGATTGGATTTGATCTGATCTTAATTTGATTTTATATGATATTATTTTCATCATGTGCCTATTGGAGGCATAGGATCAGTGATTTGATTTACTTTCCACTTATATAATACTCAGTCTATAATATAAATTAGGAGTATGGCTAATGAGAATTTGTAGAGCCTTTTACATTCAAGTTGGTATCAGAGCCAAGAACACGACACTCTATCCACTGCTTAATCTCTACGTCATCTTCTCTTAGTTCATCCTCTCCTCTTTTTGTGCTCTTTTAATTTTTCAGTCACCAACCACTAAACCACACCCAAGCAAACCAAACCCCTTCGGGGGTATTTCTTCTTCCCTCCATCACTTCATGTGGTAGAGGGGTCTCTCTCTAAACCAATGACCGGCTCGGTCGTTATGTGCTGTTGACGAATCGTCCAGCCTCTTTTCATTCTCTGTCGACTTCCACAAGGTTAGTACATGTTATTGACGAATTGTCCGGCCGAGTTTCACTCTTGCAGACAGAGTTGCTCACTTGGAAGAGTTCTCCAACCCTTGTGACTTGCAAACAACAGTATTTATAATCTGCAATTCGGTAAGAATCTACGATTTGATTCTATATCATCACAATCTGAGAAATGGAATCTGTTCAAACTAAGGATAACGCATCCTATGGGCATAGTTCCCAAGCCCAAAGGATTACTACAATTTTATTAAACGGGAAAAATTTCCCGTCTTGGTTGAGATCAGTGAGACTTTATTTAGGGAGTCAGGGTAAAAGTGGATATTTATTGGGCACTATTAAAAAACCAGCACTTGCTGAACCCACGTTTACACAATGGGACATTGATAATTGTACCATTCTTGGGTGGTTATTCAATTCTACGGAGCGGTGTATTTATAATATGTTTATGTATCACGAAACTGTGTACTTATGGACTGCTCTCACTAAGACTTATGCTCATGCTCGTAATGAAGCCCGGATCTATGAGTTACATCGAGATATCTCTCGAGCTACCCAAGACGATTTGAAGTTGTTAGTTGCAGATTACTTTGCCTTCAGTCACGTTGGGAGGAACTTGCTCACTGTGAGTCCCTTAGTGATATCTCGGCAGAGGCTACAGGGATTATTAAGGTTAGACACAAGCGCCATCAGATTTATCAGTTTCTTATGGGACTCCGTCCAGAATTTGAGGCCCTTCGTGCTCAAATTCTGAATACTACACCTCTACCCTCACTTTTCGAGGCTTTTGCTATTATTGATGGGGATGATTGTCGACGTCAGGTTACACCTTCGATGGCTCCTGCTACACTTCCTGCATCTGACACTGATCAGATGGCATTAGTCGCTTCTTCTAGACCATCTGGTACTCACAGCCGTGGCTGTGGCAGTAACCGTGGACAGTGGAGTTCTACTATATGTGCACACTGTGGAAAAACTGGTCATGCTAGGTGTAAGTGCTCAGCTCTACCCACATCTCAGACCTAGCAGCACTACAACTTCTACTGCTGCTATTGTCGAGTCCCTTGGTGCCCATGAGCCACCTGCTCCTCCGCCTAGATGTATTGATATGCATCAATTGCATACACAAATTGGGTCTATTATCCGAGATCATTTATCACAGGCATCTCTCCCTTCAGCTACATCTGCTGCAGCTCACTTATGTATTATCCCTTCAGCTACATCAACTGCAGTTCACTTAGGTACCCCATCTGCATTCCATACCTCTCAGTCTGGTATTGTTCCTCCAACTTGGGTCATAGATTCTGGTGCTTCCGATCACATGACTGGTGAGTCTCGATATTTTTCGGATATGGAAGCGTCCTCCGGGCGGGTACACCTTGCTGATGATTCTTTTACACCGATCATTAGTAAGGGTACTGTCCCTTTATCTCCTGATTTATCTTTGAAGTCTGTTCTTCATACGCCTAACCTTTCCCTTAACTATTATCTGTAAGCCGCTTAACTTGTTCCTTGGCCTGCTTAGTGACTTTCTTTCCTGATCACTCTGTTTTTCAGGACCTAGCTACGAAGAAGATTTTTGGCAGGGGGTATGAGAGGGACGGACTGTACATCTTTGGGACATCTCCAATTCTTGCACATGCTTCCATATTACCGGACTATGGAAGGCATTCTTTTACGAACCAAACTCTTGATTTATGGCATGCTCGTCTAGGACATGCTAATTTTCAGCATTTATTATCTTTGTTCCTGAACAACTTGTAGAACCCATCAGTTTTGGTGCGTTGTGTGTGAGCTTTCTAAACACTCACGCACCTCTTATATTTCATGCATGCATTGTAGTCCTTGTTTATTTGATCTTATTCATTATGATGTATGGGGACATTCCCCTGTTCCTTCTTACTCTGGTCATAAATATTATGTGACGTTTATTGACGATTACTCTCGTTGTACTTGGGTTTATTTACTTAAGTCACGTTCTAAAGTATTGTCTACATTTATTTCTTTCTTACAAACGATTAAAACCCAGTTTAATACTATTGTTAAAACCATCCGGCCAAATAATGGGAGGGAATATATCTCTAATAATTTGTTAGATAAATTAAGCGGCCAACAAGGCGCTGTAAGCAGACGAATCTGGAAGGTCTCCAGACTCGGCATGAAGCCGAGGTGTCGAATCCATAGGAGAGGAAGGTCTCCAGACTCGTTGAATCCGATTTCATCCCTTAACATAGTCAATGTTAAGTCCATAATCTAAGCTTATTATCTTGGACTAACTGATTTACTTTTTTTCAAAAAACACCATAAATGTTACCTACTTTTCACTGCAAAGCAGTGCCAATATTGTATACTTTGCCCATAAATTAAAGCATCCAGAAGCAAATGCAATGCATCAATGAAGGGAACACCCTATAATTTACTCAAATATTTTTAGGATTTGCGTTCATATAGTCTTGACAAAGGTTTTTCACTCGTGGTCAAAGTTAACGAATGCAATCCTCTCTTTTTCTAGTGAAGGCTATCAAACGCATTGCTTAATGAACTTTATAATAAGCCAAAGATATATATTTATATTAAGACGGTCATTTTTCAGCTGGAGATTAAATTGACAATTCTATAGCATTATATTATGTACATTAGTTTATTTTTGCCCATGAAGTGGTGAGTTAGAAGTATGTTTTTCAATTTGATGAAATATGAAATTACTAAATTTTTTTTAGATCTGATTCTTTGCCATATAGGTTCAGCTGGGAATGTAGTTGCCATTTTGTTTTTTTTCCCTAAATAGTTGCCATTTTGTTTTCATTTACCATGTAAAATTAGCATATCTTACCAGCAACATTTTCTTGCTGTCTTTTCACAGCAAACTCCAACTATGAGCTTGGAAGAGGTGACAAGATTGGTGGTTGGCAACCACAACCAGTTCCTACCCTCAAAGATGTTTGTATTGTTCATATAGCAAGTGGTGGATATCACTCTCTTGCTTTAACGGGTACGACTGCAGACTCTTATGACTTAAACCATGACTATATGTGTGTGTAGATATATATATCTTTTCCTTGTAGGGTATTGGTTTGTATGATACCTGTTATATAATTTCAGATGAAGGTAAAGTACTTTCGTGGGGTCATGGTGGACATGGTCAGTTGGGTCATTCTTCTACTAAAAATGAGAAAATTCCTGTAATAATTGAGGCTTTAGCTGATGAGACGATCATCTCTATTGCCTGTGGGGGTTCATCGTCAGCAGCTATAACTGGTAAGATGAATTGAGTCATTATGTTTAGTGATGGTGTATTGGTTAATTCTTCAAAGAATTGGTTTTTCATTTTCTTTGGGGTGCATGTGTAACACAAGCGCATCATATCTTCTAATCCTGTATTTTACGAAGTCGTGAAAGCATGTCCATGTCTTCCCTTGTGACTGATGCAGAGATGCAGAGGATATTCAGATATGGATTGAACTTTATGCATTGTTCATAACCTGGAAAATATTCTCTTCCGTAAAAAACCTAAAGAGTAAATCTAGAGACATGTTTTAAGAGACTACTACAGGTCAATAATTTGGACCCTGCCTAATTTTTGCTTATGGTACATGTCCTCTTTATCTTTGGCCATGGGAATCCGGTCCCTTATTGTAGTGTGTGGACATTGTGTACTCTGAGTCATTGCATCTCACGTAATATGTTATTTCCCTGCATTTATTTTATTGATTTTTGCAGTGTAAAAATTGACAGTGACTTGTCAAAAGATACATAAAAAATAAATTACTAAAGAGTTATTTCTTGCAATGGACAGATAAAGGGAAGTTGTACATGTGGGGATATGCCAGGGATTCACAATTAGGGGTTCCTGGGCTGCCAGTGGTACAACTGTCTCCCGTTGAAGTTAATTTTCTGATGGACGACGATGGATTGGGGACCCACAACGTGCTGTCTGTAGCGATTGGTGCATCTCATGCTCTGTGCTTGGTTTCAAGGTTAGGTAGCTAGAGAGTAGTTTGCCTTTCATGACATAGTGCATCCATTGGAGATCTATTTAAATTGTTTCTCTCTGGCTTTTCTAAGCCTTCCAAATTACGCATGCTTCTGCTTTGGACTGCTTCTTGCCAATATTGCAGTTACGAGGATCAGGAAAATTGAACAAATGAAATCGTTACGGGTCACAAGTGATACCCTTGAAATTCCATCTCGTTCACGTGTATGGTAATGGTGAAAGAGTGGTTGCACAATCCTAAAAAGATGAACGTGCAAGACAGATGCAGTGAGGTCCCCTTCTCATATTCTCCTGCTGATGGACCTTTGTTGTTAAAATGTTTGAATTGTTCTCATATGAGTTGGACCGTTGTGGAAGAAAGGTTTTGTGGAACTTGAGATCCATCCAAGATATGTATTAGAACCGTTCTAGAAATGACACGATTTGCAGCAAATGTACTTCTAATTGTTAATTTGGACCTTTGACTATGCTCTTTGGGGGATCTGTATAATGTCTGTACTTTGCTATAAATATAATTATGAACCGATTCCTTTGTGCCCCTCGAGGGATGAAAAAAATGAATGGAAGGGAGAGGAAAATGGATAGTTGGGACATCCCTCCGGAGGGTCCATGAATATTGTCTTCTTCACTATTTGTTTGGTTGGATAGAAAAATAATGTGTGGGGAGGAGTGCTGGCGGCGGTCTGCCACTGTTGCATCACACTCCCTACATGGGGAGGAGTACTGTGTATTGGTTGAAAAACAATTTGACCTTTTAAAAGTTGCTCTTGATTCAAATGCAAAGTAGACATCAAGTTTTAAAAAATCACACAAATGCGACTCTCAAAGCTCGTTTGCTCCCTTCATTGTCCCCCCAAGGCCAAAAAAAAAAAGAAAAAAAAAAGAACATATAGTAAAAAGGCAAGAGAATATGGAAGAGCAAAACACAAGATAATACAGAGAATTTTAATCTCTCAAAATTTGTCCTGTTAAACGTCAGGAGAAAATAAAATAAAATAAAATAAAATCCTCAAATCAACCTTCAACTAGCCACACAATCTGAATTTACACTTAAATGTTTGCAAACACTAAAGTAAATGAACAATTAAAAAATATTTTACAAACTCTGAATTTAAATACAATCTGAATGAACGATTAAATGCACTTTTAATTAAAAAATCAACAAGGCCTATGTAAAGCAGAAAACAACTAAAAGGAATAAAGACATCCCAAACTAACATAAAACAAATATAAGCTTTAGAATAGTAGGGAGCAAAAGTTATACAACTGTCAACCAACTTCTAACCCCCAAAACAAAAAAATAGGATCAGCGAAGAAGTCCCAATTCCAAAACATCATGTACATTTAATAACTTTAACGCAAACCAAGAAGAAAAGAAGAAAGTTAACAAACCAATCAATAAGGAATGTAAAAAGAATTATAATTAATAGTTGGCAAAAGGGCAAAAAAAAACTTCTAAACTATACAATTGTTGTATAATGCTGCCCGAATTATTTTTGAGAGTAAGTTACCCCCCTCAACTATTAAAAGTAAGTAAAATACTCCCTTTAAGGCGATCAGAGACAACTTTCCAACCGGCAAACTGATACAATTATTAATTTACCCTCAGTTATTAATTTATTATAAAAAATATAAAATTCATGAATGTGAAATACTAATAATGCCCTCATATTTTTATTTTATTTTTCATTGAATGTTGTAGAATCGTATGGACGGCGGCGATTGAGCCGCCAGTAGCTGCAACATGACTTAACAATTTCCTCTGCTCTTTTTTTAGCCGAATCTTTTTATCATCTTCAATTGCCCAAGGAGAGAAGGAATATGGTTCAAGCTTTAATATCCTAGTGCCTTTTCGAAACTTTTCAATATTTTCAGCAACTTCAGAGTCTGATATTGCAATTGCATATTTGGATGGTGTACCACTTCGCTCAAATTCTGTGTTGGGAGGGGGTTCGTTGGGAGGGGATTCGGTTACTCTTTCATGTACGGGAAATGTCACACCAAGGATTGTCGAGACTGATACTTGAGTTATGATTAAAGGGATTTAGGAATTTGTATGAAAAATATTATTATTTTACATTTCAGTCACCACAACAAACTTAAGCAGATCACCTGTTTTCAAATTTTTGTTAATGTTTTTTTGTCTTTGTGCTTTCTTGGTATGCCTACGATAGCAAGGTTATCTCTTACTTCTTGTGTATGGCTACGATACCAAACTTTGTCTTTTACTATTTTCTGCCTAAGGCCTTCCTCTTTGTACTCAATTTTTATGTATTATTAAAACTGCTTAATGAGATAATCTAATTATACAAATCAAATTTCTAACGTCTTCCCTGCTTCTAAATCTTCTTAGATTTAGCATCTTCCCTGCTTTGGTCTTCTTAGATTTAATTTGTTGGTAATATTTAATGTCTTCCCTGCTTCTAAGTCTTCTTAGATCACGTAAAATTACTTTTCTCTAATGGGCTAAGAGTCCTTGTCAGTTCACCACCAAGTCTTCGAAGAATTTTTTTTATGTAACTTGCAAAGAGGCAACATCCAAAGAGCAAGACAAAAAAATCTTCCAAGAGCCTTTTATCACTGAAGCAAGGGAAAACTAGTACAAGGGAGAGGTGAATAAGGAGGAAAAACTTTTAATAGTATAACCTAAATTTGAATCTATTAAGTATAACATCTAAATTAAGAGATAACAGAAGGTTTGAATAAAAAAGCTTCTATTCAGACTTAAATTACTAAAAAGCAAATGGGCTACAATGCCTTTTGCTGATGCTCATGAAGGAAAAACGGAAACAATTATAAAATTTCTGGATCTTATCCACGTGATTTTTCATCAAATCAAGAAGTATGGAAAAAGAGATCTCATACCTTTTAGACGATTGATTAATAGTCAACACTCTAAGAATAACAGTGAATTGGATTGCTCTTCCTTTAGCCTTGAACACCATTAAAGCTTCACTTCTATATCCCCGAAATACACAATTTTATGGAAACCCTATATTTCTCACTCTCAATTATTCTGTATCCTGTAGGTTTGTGCGTGAATAATTGAATGATCAACCTGGGATATATATCACGTATATAGATGGGGCTAGAGATGAGGATCAAAAGGGATTCTTATCCTAGCTCCAATTGGATAGAGATAGAGTTCCTATTAAATTAATTACAATAATCACCACAATAGTATTGTAATTGCATTATAGGATTCAGAAATTACAACTAGGCTCTCTCCTACTAAACAATTACATATAAACCCCTCCACTACCGAATATCCATAAGTAGCCTCAAGGAAAATAAATATTGTCCTACCTAAGGCATACTTAGTTCTTATATTCCTTGAGTAACCAATTTAATCCTTGTGATCACTGAATTAAATTCTTTTATAAAAAAGATTTTTCAAAATAAATAATAGAAAAATAATTTAGTAAACATTTTACTAAAATGCCTTGGCCAGGTTCTAGTGGTCAAACTTATAAAATTGCATGAAGGGGATATTCTAACTCTTATAATGAGTGTGGATTCGATGTTGAGCATTTGTATTCCCAGAGCTCCAACATTAGCCACCCAAGATACCGTGGTATTGACCTTAAAAGATCTCACACATTGGTAAGTCAAAGTGAGTAGTATTGAAACTTGAGTTCACTAAATCCCTTAGGATTTAGAGCTTATGAATTTAGTAGATAAGAAACACACCAAAATAATAACAGTACATTGTATGATGCGATCTTATGGTGATCCAACTCCAAGCACACTAACACACTGCCTAGAGTCAACTATCCCAATGGTCGAGACAAACCATAATATCTTATAGAGGTCAAGTGTGTTATAGTCTTACAGATAAAAGTGCCCAATTTCTATCACTGATTGCGAACAATGCCAAGGTGCAAGAAACCGGTAAGCCCAAATCTCCTACGTGTAAATCTCATTTACACACTTAAGTCACCTATAATGCAACTTGAGGGCAATAATGCATTTCATGCAAATATATGTAAAGCCCAATGCATGAATATCACATTTATTAATAAAATATCAAATTAATAATAAATAATTGGCTTATAGGGCATATTATCCTAACAATCTCCCACTTGCACTCAAAACCAATTACCATTACATCTAACACCCATCCCTTTAATATGAGTCTCAAAAACCATAGTAGGTAGAGTCTTAGTGAAAGGATTTGCAAGGTTATTTGCAAATGCAATCTTATTGACAACAATATCCTGATGCTGAACTATGTCTTTAAAACACCACTACACTTCCATCACTCTTCTTGTATACACAAGGCCCATTCACATTCTAATCATGTTCAAATGATTTGACTACGATCAAAACGAATGTTCTGAGTCACAATCATTCATAACTTTTTCATAAGTATAGAGGGATCTTTGTTCTTCTGGGATCACCTCGTCAGACTTTTCCGAAAACATTAACCTATCAGATGGCCTGATAACCCTCCCACTACGTTAAGGTTCCGATATAATAAAAGATTCTGAACTCGTAGTTTATGATGTCTAATCATCAATAACTGTCATATCCACTCTTGGATTGATTGGTGTATCTATCATCTCCTTTAAAACAACCATACTTCGAGGATGGTGATTCATTATATAATCCTCCTCGAGAAAAGTAGCATTCATGCTAACAAACACTTTTTTCTCCTTAGGATCATAAAATGAATAGCCCTTTGTACCATTTGGGTACCCCACAAATAGACAAACATCTTCTCAAGCTTTCATTTCCACATACATGCAGGACACTCCCACTTACATAAATTTTGTAAACTAGGCTTACACCTCGTATACAAATCCTTGGGAGTGTTTGGAACTACTTTAGATAGAGCCCCAAAAGAATACTGGTAGACTTGAATAACTGATCATTAATCTTACCTTGTCCAGTAAAGTTCTATTCCTTCTTTCTATAATACCATTTTGTTATGGTGTGTCTGGCGTAGAAGTTTGGGATATGATCCCATTTATAGGACCACATACATCCATATGCACCAACTCTAGTATCTCTTTAGCTTTTATGCCTCTTGGCCTTAAAAGGCCTTTCGGTCATTTTACCCACTAAATAGGATTCGCAAACTGGGAATGGTTTAACCAGTAAAAAGCCCAAAGACCCATCCTTTAACAGTCTTTGGATCCTATTTAGAGTAATATGACCTAACCGCATATGCCAAAAATATATAGAGTTATTCGAAGGAATCTTTCCTTTTAATGGTAAGACATTCAATACATCAATTATTTTAGTATCATACAAGGAGTGAGGTGTAGGAATAATTAAATAAAGACCATCCATCAATGTACCATAATAAATAAACTTTTTATTTTTATTTATTAAAACTTCTGAATCAAAAGATATTGAAAACCCAGATTTTAAAAAAATTGAAATAGAAATTAAGTATCTTATACTCTCTAGTACATAAAGATAATTTTTAATAATAAATTCTTATCATTTATTTCAAAATAACTACTCCTACTGATACTGCCGCCACCCTTGCTTGTGAAGCAAGATGAAGATAGATATCTCCCTTTCACTCAGTCTTCTAATTTCCTGGAACCCTACAATAAATTGCAAACATGGTTAGTGGCTCCAGAATCTACAAACCAGGTATCCGTAGATCTAACCACATATTATGTATTAATAATGAGTGATTGAAGCATATCTTCAGAGTGCTTCTTTGCTAGATACACCTGACAATTCCTTTTCCAGTGCCCTTCCTTACCACAATGGAAACAATTTCATTTGATTTTAGCCTTGCCCTTAGCCTTGAAAATCCCAACACTAGTACCAACCTTTTTGGCGACAGTGGAACCTTGCTTCTTATTGTGGTTCTTGCCTTTCGGCTTTCCATTAGAAGAAGAACCCTTTTTTTACTATGTGAACACT